GGAGGTGAAGTATCAGGAAGAATGTCAGCAAGGGAGGTATCCGGAGGAGGACACTGTTGTGACAGAAGGGATTCACTTGAGTATCCAGGGGGGAGAGGTAAGGATAATGGAGAACAAAAGGGGGGGAGGATGGGGTTTGTTGGGAAAAAGTAGGAGGAAGAGGGGTAGAGGTAACTTGCAGGGGAGGAGGATAGATATCGGCAAATACTTTGAATGTAAAGGGACTAGGAATAGAGGGACTGGAGAGTGGATGAGGAAGCAGAACATTTTCTTGGATTATATCTAGGAATTTTTGGATGTCTTCAAGAGTTTCTGGGGGGGGTTTGGGTAGGGAGGTCTGAGAAATAAAGGATCTCTTCTGAGGAGAACAGGGGAGAGACGTTCAAGGAGCAGAGGAAAAGGAGGGTGCAGGAGAGGGTGTGGAAGGTGAAGATGGAGTAGAATGTTTAGGTTGTCTGGTGTGACACATAAAGTGAGGGGGAGGAAGGGAGGTATCCAAGAAGTGGTAGACATTGGATTATCTGGATTTAGAATGGAAAAGGGAGGGGGGTCTTGCAGAGCGAAGGATTGTTTTGGAATAGGTGAGAGAGAAAAACCTCATCGTCAGGCTTCCTGTCTAACCTCACGCAGAGTGAGGCCTAGTTTGAGTCTGACAATAGCTACCTCACATTCGAGCTTATAGGCAGGGCAGCTCCTATAAAATACTTTATGGGAGTCACCACAGTTTGCACATGTAAGTGACTGAGCAGGGCAATTTGAATAGTCATGACGAAGGTGGGCACATAGAGGGCAGCAGGTTGTGGAGCAACTGTTTGGCTAGGTGGCCAAAACGCCAACATTTCTTATATTGACGGGGAAGGGGTCCATATGGTCAGACATGGTAGAACAATCCACCAATATAAACATCATGGGGGAGGTCATGTCTACAGAAGCTAATCTTCGCAATATTGACATGGAACTTGTGCTGTACTGCTACTACATCATAATCAGAGGCAGGTAAGTAGGTAATTTTCACAATCTGACCAGTTCTTGTTATATACTAGATAATCAGTCGTATGGATAGAAACAGTTCCAGTACAAGTATTAAGAGAGAGGTGAGGTTCAGCAGGAATGGGTTTGCCAGTAAAGTCAGAGTGGACAGTGCACATGCTTGGGATTCTGATGTAACTGTGACTTGGCGTGAACGACTGGAGGGGCTGTGATAGGTAACTTTGCCTACTTGTTTTTGGAGGCACTGTTGAAAGAGAAGGGTATTCTCAGAACAGGGGGCTGTGGGGGGAACCACAAAGAATTGATCCAACTTGGCTGGGCCAAAGAAAGTACTCAAAAGGTTTGCAAAGGTAGAAGGACAGGAGCGGGAGGAAGATAGGGTGGTGTAGAGTAGAGTGGATCAGTGGGTGGGGAAGTACAATAAGGATGAAAAGTAGTAATAAGGGAAGAGGGGGTAGCCACTGAATAAGACTGTGCAGTAGGAGATGGAGAAAAGAATGTTGGGAGAGTGGAAGGGGTGCATTCTCAAAGCTGAGTAATAACCTGGGGGGGTGATTCAGAACAGACAGAGTAGTCAGTAAAACTCGAGGAAGGAGTATTAGTATCAGTGGTCGGAGCCGTGATCGAAAGAGGGGCAGGAGTTGGAAAATCATCCGAATCGAAATCAGAGAGGCTAGTTGATGTAGGAGTAAGCCTTAATTCCCCTATTAAGGGTAAAGAATCTTCATTATTGGCCATGGCGAGCCTGAATAAAATAGGAAGAAGAAACAGTCTACCCCTCAGGGTCCCCATAAGAAGTAAAGGCTAGGCAATTAACCTAGGGAATACTGTGCCCATGGCTCCCGGAGGCTGTTCATGACTGACATAAAGCCATCCTTTCAGCATGGCTTAGACACCTTAGGAATGGGACAGAAGGTGATGAAGATGATATGTAGGAGGAAAGAAGAAAAGACCAAGCAAAATTAGTTGAGGCAAGGGCTGAAGTCCAATGCAGGGGCAATCCCTATACTGGGCTCCAGTCTCCGTCTCCTAAGCCACCCCAAAAACAACAACGAGCAAGGTACTGGGGGGGTTTTGTTATCAAAATTCCATGACTTTTCCATGCCTTTCCAGAGAGTGTTTGTGACTCTTTTCACACTTATCCTTGAACATCTGATGCATATTCAAGATAAATATATCCCATTACAATATGTACAATAACTGTAATTCATTATTGGTGTTGCCAAATATTAAAGATTTGAGTAATGACTCGTGTGTTTTACTGACACTTCAGTGAGACTAGTTGCTTATAATGGATTAGCATGTATCAATTTAGGCTGTGTAACTTTTCAACTTCTCATTCAGTGCCCTCAATCTTCTGAAGTTTATCTTGATTTCTCTCTGAAGACTGTCTCAGAATACAAATTGAAAAAAATATATAAAATAATAATAAATAAATAAATGTAAGTAAGAAATAAAAATTCTAAAACACAAATGCTAAATTTCAATGATTTTCCAGACCTGAAAACAAAATTCCATTATATTCCAGGTCGGGAAATCTCTATTTCAATTTCCATGATTTTCCATGATTCTCCAGGACCCGTATTGGTGACAAAGTGCTTGTGGTACCTCTATGTGTAAAGACACTTAATAAACTAAACTCACATTAGGCAAGGCATTTCCATACATGCCATCCCTGATGGCATCAGGTTAACTATATGATCTCATTTAATAAGTGTATCATGTATAAAGAGTACACTACTGACATATCCCCTGAAAAAATAAATAAATAAAATAAAAAATAAATAGAAATACTACAAAATAAATAAATGAAATAAATAAATTAATTAATTACACACCTATGCAAGAGTTTATGAATAATGCTAAATTGATAATTGGTACTTTTAAACTTTTATATCAATACATCTACCTTCTTACCTTCTGACTTGTCAATTTACTTTAACCCATTGCTGATAGGGATGGCATGTACATAAAATACCATGTTCACTGAGATCTTAGCTTATTGAATGGGTTTACATATCAATAGCCCTACATAGCTTTTGGAAATATATATTTTTTTCATTCATTACTATTAATATTGTTGATAACATTAATATCAATAATAGTAATAATGGTATTGATAAAAAAAAAAAAAAAAAAAAAAAAAAATCCCTGAAAACTCTGTGGAAAAGTCAAAGCAGGAGAGGTAGCATAGGTCTTCTACGTGACTCCTTGGTGCCCAAGCACTCATGGAGCCATTTTCGTGTAAACAAAATTCCCAAAACAAAAAAACAATGGATACTACATGTACCTGTTGGCAATGGGTTGGCTGTTGTTTTCTTAAATATTATAAGCATTAAGTCAGAATTCATCAACATTCCTCAATAATTATTTAGCAAAATACAATCTTCTAAATACTCTGCACCCTCAATTAAACACTGAACTATTTCTATTAGTGTAACTAAAAGATTCTCAAACTTCATATTGCATTTTCAAAACTGCTTAAATATCTTCAGTGTATAGAAAACACAAGAGGAGTTAATAGAAAAAAAAAGAAATTAACAGTTAACAAAAATTATAGAACAGAATAGATTTGAGACACACACACATGCACACACACACACACACACACACACACACACACACACACACACACACACACACACACACACACACACACACACACACACATACACGCACACACACACACACACACACACACACACACACACACACACACACACACACACACACACACACACACACACACACACACACACACACACACACACACACACACACACACACATATACACACACACACATATCAACGGAAATCTATATAATTTAAAGTATAAGCAAATAAATAGAGACATGAGTGAATAGGTCATATTCTTTTACAAAACCCATGCATCAGCTTCAGGCCAAGGGGTCATCACCTGCGAGTCATCTGTGCACTGCTGGAGAGCACTAAGTCCTGTGATGTCTTCTAGATATGATGGAGTATTGAAGACCTTAAGGAGAAATTCAAAGCCCTCTTCTCTATACGCTGAAACCACCTGTAGCAGGATAAAATATGAAATTTACTTCTCTTTACTACTGAGACTATCTAAATATTTCTTTTTCTGATTTATATTACAATAAAGCAAATAAATACACATTCTTCTTATGATTAACAATTTACTCTACAAGCTAAAGAGAAAAGCACAAAATTGGGATAATCTATAGCCATGTTCTCTAATCTAACCCATTGGATCTGGGTGAAGGGGATGTCATGTTATGAAAAAAATTAGTCAAGGGGCATGTGACAGACATGTATCATCATGTAAAATTTGTCTGAGGGCCAGAGTGACAGGACTGTCTCGCCATGGGAAAATGTTGCAAAGTCATGGGGACATCTTGCCATGTGTGCACACAGCTGCCGAAGAGAGATTGACTCAGTGGGCCTTCAGGAAGGGGCTCCAACAATATTTCCATCAGTAAACAAGGGTGGAGTATACCTGCCATGAGCCACACCTGTGAGAATGCTAGCTTTGGTGAGGACACTATGCCCATGCACAGGAACCTATTCATGCCTACCATTACCTGTAGTGCAGGGTGTGATACAGGAAACTGAAAATGCTACTTATTGTTATTGCTGTTGCACAATGTAAACTACCTGAAGAGATAATAGGGAGTATGCTCAAGAAAAACAATATTGCAATCTTGTATAACATAACAAATGAGAAATACAGTTCTTGGAAAATGGCAATATAGCAAAAATATGTCTCCAGGATAAAAGCTATTAGCATTGTAAAGAGACAAGGTCTTGATACCATATATGACTGTACATATGGGCTGAGCCTACAAGCTGCACATCCAGGAGAATAAGTCTAATGCCAAGATATCTGTCCAAATGCCAAAGTAAGGCACCTGAATAGACTGATTCGGTAACGCCTAGCAACGGCCCCTAGCAACGAGCACTTGGTGAAAACAAACCCTCGTTCATTCGAAAAATCACTGCGCTTTGCTTACAAAGTCGCTGAATTTTTCTGAGAATTTTGTTTCTTTGTGTGAAAATGCCAAGGAGCAGTGTTGTCATTGGTTGTTCGAACCACAACATGATGGGAAAGACAGGTTTAACCTTTCATATATTCCCAGATCGCGAAAAGAAACCTGAATAATGGAAGCGATGGGTAGGCCTACAGGCCATGAAATGCATGAATGCTGATGGGAGTGCTTGGCTGGTGGAAATTGTTTACATCTGCTCAGAACATTTTACTGATGTACATATTAACCCACCCGCGCCGGGGTACATTTTGTAGCCAAAATTTAAAAAATCCGGGAAGCTACAAAATCGGCGGGGAGCTTCCCCGTAGTCTGTCCGCCGCCCGGCCGCCGCCGCTTTTGCCGCGGAGCACGGCTCCGAGACAGCATCGCACTGGCGGGCAGCCCGAAACTGTTTATTTTTTCCCTGTGTCTCATATATGTGACATTCGGGACGAATGGGTTAATATATTACAACTTTTCAAACTCCAGAGACTGATAATCACTTTCAAACTCTTGTCTATCTACACTACCTATCAAGGCCAAACAAGATCAACATTGTCGACATTAGGTCTTGGCAGTAGTCATATATTCTAAAAAGCACAATAACAATTATATTATTTTCATGTTATTTCTTTTTTGTAGTAAATTTGATTTATCATAATTTATATTTACAGGCAAACCATCCCCGAATCCACTTAACCCAGACTTTATCCCAAGTGCCTTCAAGCACTGTCCATTAAATGAAAACAAAGCAGGTATACAGTTGCCTGTTGCCTGTCTGAAATGCTATATGGTCTGGCAGAAGAAACAACTGAAGAGGGCCTATCTCTTGAGGTCAAATTATTGAGGAGAGAGAAAAATGCGTCACTTTTAGGCCTTTATCTGACTTCATTGTCTCCTTTGTATAAACACCTAGTAAATGGGAAGGAAAGTGATGTTAGGAAATGGCACTGATTTCAATGAAAAATACCCTATATAGCTAAACGTAGTAGCAAATTATGTTATTATAAAATTATTATTATTATCATGTGATTTATTGATAGAATAGTCGTAGATATTGGAATATTCAATTTTAGGTAATTTCAAAGGATCGTCGATCCAGATTTCGGTATGAGTACTCTTTTAGCTACACAGCTTCTAGTTTTGCTTCATATCACCTTTTCGCTTCAGTTTTTGAAAAATCAAAGAATTCATACGCTATTTTCCTTCACGTTGATAGCGAGGTATCTGCGAGCAACGAGTTTGTTTTTACCAAGTGGAATGGCGACTCCGGCTCGTGACGTCACACCGAATCGGTCTATTCAACAGGTTAAGTACCTCTCATGCATAAAAAGTTATATCTTGAAACACAGAGACTTAATATTATAAATCAGTAAGTCCAACCTTGTCAGAACATGCTGGGCACTGTTTGAATGCTGCTGTTGCAGGAGTAAGCTGTTGGTGTCGTCCTAAGAACCCACGCAAAGAGTGAGGCACTGGTCCCAATACACCTTCCTTCACATCCTGCTGACTGCTGATACCTGCCTCTGCTAATCCTCTGTTGAATGCCAAGTAGTTGTTAGAAAGGTCTGTTCTTCCTAAAAATCTCTTCCATTTATTTAGTATTAGTCATAGTGAAGAATGTCCTAAACCAATATTTTGATTACACTTTATTTACTTCTTTGTGAATTCTTTATCTATTAACTTTTTCCTTATCTGTATCATATACAATATCTTTTATTTAGAATGCAAAACTATAGTTAATGTCACACTCTTGTATAGCAGCTTATCACACAGCCTGTGCCTGGCTCCTTTCTCATCAAGCAGCTTGTGATGGCCTTGCCCTTAGGAACTACAGGAAACTATACACAACAATCCATGAGACTGACCATTGTTAAGGAATTAATAACAGCCTCTAACTGCACATCAAAAACCATTCTGAACCCAATTTTGACATAGCTATATAAAGCACCATTGAAATTTATTGGTTCTGTAAAAGAATATATAGTAATTAGTAAAAGTAATGCTCACCTGTCTGGATGTTGCAGAATTGACACCATTAGCTCAGTGACATGAGCAGCAGCCAAGTAAGACACTCCTGGACGAGTGACGGTGCACTGCTGATCTAAGGTTCGATCCCGTGTTGACTAAAGAAAAGACATTGGGAAAGGAAGGCAATAAATTGGACTGTAAAGTTGGCTGAGTTTTGTTGCGTAAATTTTAACACACTAGTGCTGGGTAATTGCAATGTCCACTGTAGTTTTGTTATATGAATTTTGTTTATGCACAGATGGCTCCATTTTTTTTCTAATGCTGATCATATCATTTCTACTATTTTCATAATCACTGACAATGGTATTATCAAAATATCATTACAAATACTAATAGCAATAAGAAATATAAAATCAAAACTTTTTAAAAAATCAAGGAAAAGGGGAAACAGGTGAAATCAGGTAGGAGCAACCTATGCTTAAGCAAAATCAATAAACTAAAATCAAAGTGGCCATGGCATATATGCACAAGCAATCCCACCATCAATAGGTTACAGTTTTTTGTAATCTATGGAGCACACCAACTTGCAGCTAATGTCTATGCCTACTGACAACTTGCTACATTTTAAGGTCTTTCTTCTTGAGTTAAAGAACTTGATTTCTTAGTGGTCTGAAATGGAGACGTGTTGTGAAAATTCATGACATAACCAATTACATGCAAATATCTATATCTGTTTGGAAACATAGTTTTGGCTAACAGTCTACTTCAAGATAAATGTACCTTAGTATTATATTCAAAATAAAAAGGCAAAACTGCAAGATAAAGGTGTTTCATCTAAACAAACATTCTAAAAGTATATTTAGATAGAAGAGGGTTTCCAGTAAAGTTTAGTTATTACCAAATTAAATTTAGGAAGCAAATTTTTCACATGTACAAGCTACATAATTTACTAATATCTAATGTTTTGTCTGCAAAATCTTTTAATCTTTAAAGTCAGACTTTAAAGTAAATACATAATATAAAGGAAAATATCAAGTAGGTAGAAAACAATAGAAGTAATAATAATAATTAATGGTAACAGTAATGATGATATAATAACTATGAAGCCAAAAAAATAGAAAAATAATAAATATAAAATCCATGGTAAAAATATTAACCCCTACAATCCGGATGACATTACGGTTCTGTCATGGAAAAATCTGGGTCGAGAGCTGGGTGACGTGAACATGTTGTCATTGGGCAAAATCTCTGTGGGCCGGGTGACGCCAACTTGTCGTCATGAGCAAAGGCCAGGGTGACAGAAAAGACACACCATGAATGCACAAATCTCTTGGACTCATTTGGTACTTAGAAGGGGCATAGCATTATTAATATCGATAAATGAATGTGGACTGTATTGACCGTATGCCGTGACTGGAAGAGCGCCGGCTCCAGGTGTCCTCAGGGAGGACACCATTTTCATGCTGCACGTTGTATTCCTGGCCGCTGCGACCAGCAGTGCAGGTTGTATTAGGGAAAATTGAAAATTACGAAAAAATGAGATATATGATACAAATAACAAAATGTTCCATATTTTTTTTGACTTGCACTGAGTCATTTATTATATAGAGAGATGATATGGAGTCTGTGCAAGGAAAATGAGCTACTGCCAACAGGACAAAGCAAATCAAAAGACAAATATGGACAATGGAAAATGGCAAAAAGGCTAAAAAAGTTTACACAAAATAACTTTGCAAAGGGGAAGCATATAGTCTTGTCACTGCTCATGGGTGTTCACGTGTGCCCAGCCTACGCACTGCACGCCCGGGATGTTGGCTACTTACGTAAATCACTACCCATATTTTCGGCACCGTGATTTCCGTGACGGAACCAGATCCAATAGGTTAATGCTAACAACAAATTAATGAAAAAATCTAGCTAATAATGAAAACACCCAATACATTTAATAAATATAACAATTCTATAAAATACAGTATTAGTAACAAAGATATAGTATAATAAAATAAGATAAATCAAGTTCTAACGCACATCTCCAGGTGCAACAACATCATTGCAGAAGTAGCATCCTAAAAGGTTGCCAGGAATGGGGGCTCCATGAACAGCACTTGCCATAGCACCCTGTTGGTCTGAGGTACTAGACGAGGCAGTGTCAGCTCCATCTGCTCTCTGTCTGAAACCGTGGCGCATGACCAAGTAGGAGTCAAAGCCAAGCGCTGCAGTGAAGACCAGCTGCAAGATGAGAAGGTGTGAAATTATATCACGTTAGACTGGGAAATTTATCAAAACTATTTGTGATAATTATTTCCACAGCAGACAGTAATGCCAGAGAAAGAATCAAATCTCACAATGACACAGAAGTTTGTGGCTACTATTATAGAAATAGCAAAATGGATGAAATAAGTATTCTGATCACAACTATCTATATAATATTCTAAATCAGAAATTAGAAAAATCCCCACCAGGGAAAATATAAAAAAATTCCAGTATACAAAATAAACAGAACTACTGCAGCACAGACCTTGTTCTTTGCTGAGCCCAGCATGGATGGAAGCCATCTGCTTTCCCTTGAGTCCATAAGAAGAAAGATAGCATCATGGTCTTCTATAAGCTGTTCTAATTTTTCCACATCTTTTCTGACCTGTTCGATTAAACTGTCACTAACAGTGTGACCAGGCATTGGAATGCTCAGTACTACACCATTGGAATTCTGAAAAAAGTGAAAAAGATATCAAATAAATTGTAAAACCATTTAAAAGTTGTGAAAGTAACAGTCCTTAATAAAAGAGAAATGAAATGAACCAAAGATCTTGATAGTACTTAATCTTTCAATGTTTGCTTATATCAAGATATTCTTTGGTATAGATAGTCATCTAATGAAATTCATGAAATAATTCCTAGGTGAGCAAATGATCAATGCATAAGAAAAAACATCATCCTTTCAAGGATCACAACTGTCATGAAAGCTGAAGAAAGGTTAGCTTACTTTAATATGCATTACTTGTTTTAACTTCAAGCCCCTAATTCACTTCAC